CCGGCGGTGGTCGAGTTTTCGGTCTTAGCAAGTCAAATTTATGCAGATGTCCGCGCTCGTCGAAGGCGAGCAAGCGAGGCTGCTCGAAATTTCCAAAGTGCCATTTCGCTTATTCGACCGGCCGCCGGCCATTCTCGAAGGCAGCTTCTAAGTCTGGGCTTCGGGCCTTCCCTTCCGAGCTTTCCTCCCCCCCTCCCCCCCCTCAACCCTGTGGCTTCCACGGACGAGATAAGTGCTCGGGAAACGTGGATTCTCCGGGAGTTGCCGGGGGTGAATCGCGTCGATTGTTAAATCCTTCGAATGCCGATCGTCCTTGTACCCGGGTCTTGATTAATGCGGCCATTTTGCCTTCATCGGCCCGCTGCCCGCAGCCAATTGCACTGGTGTGCGATGGTGGTATTATGCAGGATGGAAGTAAATGGTATTTCATTAAGCTGGAAATTAACGCAGGGGAGATATATATCTTTTTCTCTTTTATGTAGAAACTTTGAAGAGAGAAATATTTATCTGAAAGAATAAATCTCTCAGTTTTCTATATTTACACTGCTACATTTTTATCAGGAGAAATATTTTTTTCTGCACATTACGTAAGTGTTTTGCATAGTACGTTAATTTAATTAACAATTATGAAGAGCACTCTGCTGTGTGCTGAGATTGTATTGCAGTATCTGTGGTTGTCGCTGCACATTTGGTGCTAAAATACGCTTGCGTAACAATGTGAACATAGAGCACACAGCACTTGAGATTAAATATGTGATAACATTGATCAGAGCACGCTCTGGGGAGAAGTCTGTAATATTGATTCACGTATAATTTTAGGCGGTACACTTCACGCTATATAGACAGTGGCCGTAACAAGGCCGTCGATGCATTTTTTCGTCGCAACCCTGTCGTTTGCATATTATTCAGTGGCCTGCATCCATAATTTTTTCCTTGCCGAATCAATAAAGTCACGTAAGACCGTGACTGTCTCTTTAGAGCCCTCCTCGGCCGATCAGATCCATCAAGGGCGAGAATGTGATATATGGAGGTATCGATCTTCATACTTTTTTTTTTTAAATCTTGATCGTTGAATCTTATTTGATATGCGCTCATATATGTCTTTCGTATATCCATTATCGCTCGATTGAGTCAAGCTCAATGCGCTAAAATTAACCGCCTCGCGCGTTACTAATATTAGTAGCTCACAACAGAAATATTGACCCACATTTTGCGAATCGCTAAACATTAATTCGTATCTCTCGCGATTTATTTTTACGATTCAAGAGAAATTTGATTGCGATGTTTTATTGTCTCGCATTACTGTATGCGCAGCCGTATAATGTAATTACGTATCAACAGTATCATTATATAGCGTTTTGCCAAAGTGTACATTATAAAGGAACGCAAGCGATAACAGATCCAAAATTGAAATTGCCTGTTGGTGTCAGCTTGGTATCATTAATATCAGCGGGTTATAATTTGCAAAACAATCGAGAGACCCAGGCCGCGCACCGCTTTCGCGGGCGCTTTTCCGCCGGACTGGACTCCGGGTGAATGCGATACACTGATTCGCGAGCGCCGCGACACGTGCAAACAAAAATTCGCGAGCGTCCCGCAATTGTTTGTCGGAGCAAGGCGGCCTCGCATGTAGACACGCTTGTTTATTATCGACGTGGATCGATTCACGCGATTCGAAAGCGTACCCGTCGGTTCGCTCGTTTGTTTATTCGTTAAAGTGCAGCCGCGCGCGATTTTTGCAACGTTACGTTTTGCGGCGCACAGCGCGGTGACCTAGACGCTGACAAAAACTGAATTTAAAAAAAAAAGGGAACATTCAAATGCATTTTTTTCGACAGTTTTAACATTTTAACATTGGGTTGACATGGATTTTCAAAAAGTTATGCTACCTGTTCCCAATAGTAATTTAAATAATTTACTGCACATATCGTCTTTGAAATTTTCTAATCTAGATGAACGACGAGAACATCTCGTTACTTAGCGCGAGAACTTTTGCATCTTCATATCCGACAATCTTCCACCGTCGGCCTCCATTTTCCAATAATGTTCGTTTAGCCATGCTCTACCTGCGACGCGAGATGTACGGCAGCCACCAAACCTCCGTTGTCGGAAACAAGATCGTAAAATGCAAATTGCTCGACGATGCGCCGCGCCAGACCCAGGCGTGATTGGCCTGAGTAAAGCCCCGTAACTTACAATCCTCGTGAGAGTCAATACACGAACGCTGCTCAAGATGCGTTTTAGCTATCGCGAATTCGAGAACGGAGCGCGTAAATAATTTTTATTCACCTCTGCCTCGGTTACGGCCGCGAGGAAGATTGCGTTTCGTGGAAGAGCTTTCAAGATACGAAGTTGCATTAGGGCCATTTATTAAAATAAATAAATACTACTGACGCAAGAACGGTTCGCGAATAATCGTATTTGATTTGATTAACGCATCTATAATTGTACACATTGTGTTGAGCAAGTAATGATTGCAACTTTTATTCGGTGTATCCGAAATTGTAATTTTCTCTCTTCTCACAATACTCTACTTATTTATCTTAACGAAACGTTTACCTGTTTCAATTAAATCTACATAGATCGCAAATCAATACGGTGATTTTTGACGGTCAAGGTAAACAAAAAAATGTATTGCTAAGAAATCCAAACAAACTCGAAATATCAACTGGTAGCGATTGTCGGGAAATATTTGCGCTGAATCAAACGCGCGTTTTTCGTACCATTTCAAACGTAGAAACGTCACGACGCCGTACAGTACAATATCGCGGATCCTTTGTGTCTCGATAGTATCCTCGCTGAAGTGGGCGCAAAGTGGGACAGGAAAACGAGAAGGCGGGTGGCTGGTTGTTAGATAGGTAGGTAGGTAGGTAGGTAGGAGGACACAAAAAGCACAAGGCAGAGAGGAACCCATGGTAAGCGAAGCGTTCGATGAAGAACGAAACAAGTCGCGATCCACCCGGAAACTCCGTCCCTTTTTGCCAGACGCGTAGGTACTTGAGCGAAATTGAAATAATCGGAAATCGACGGAAGGCTTGTGCCATTGTTTTCTCGGTTATGCCGGGAAGCAAAGGAGGGAGAGACAGAAAGAGAGAGAGAGAGAGATATTAACGGAGAAAACTCGACAGACGTAAAAGGGCAATTAGTTTTTTCTTCTTTTTTTTTATTCTTTCATTAAATTGTCCCGCAAAACTGATATCCGTAAGGCGCATAGCAAAACAAATTAGTTGCGCCCTTCGACACGTGTTTGACTTTTATTTAACCACGTCGCTCTCCCGCCCCGAGCTCTCCCTTTCTCTCTCTCTCTCGACAATTGACGCGCATGTAAAGCTCCTCTTTGCGGGTCGACGAGATTAAACGCGAGAATTGTTCGCACGCTATTTAAGCGTGTATTGTGTATTGCGCGGCCGCTTGTATTAGTACACGGCACGCGGCTGCAGTGGCTAAAATCGTTTTATTGTCGATATTTAGCTCACGAATCGATACGTCGCGTGCCACATTGTAACGCTTATTCGAAAGCGACAAATAAACGTAAGTTGCATAATGCGAGCATTACCAGGTCGTTATTGGAGCGTTGAATTCGTCGACCGCGAAGAATCTTTTGCGGTTTCTAACTTCTGAGATAATGCTAACGCCAAATTTAATAGATGGCATCTCTCTTTGTATTCTGATAAAATAAAAGTCCGATCCGGGTTTCAATTCGAAAAATATATGTGACGCGTAAAATATATCTGATGTACATTCATCATTCGTACACGTTTCTGTGGAAAAACTATTTATTTCAAGTTTCTCGTTCCATTTATCATGCATCGTTCACAATTTACCGTACATTGAACAATATTTTCTTTATTTTGGAAGTTAGAAACTGCAAGAGAGAAAATCCCTTTTGCTTCGGAAAGAGATTTTCATATATTGTTACGTGTTTATTAACTTTAAGAGTTAATGTCCCTTGAATTCGGATGTATTTTGAAATACAGTTATACAATTGATACGTGAGTTTGATAACAATTTTCTGGGTGTGCGTTTCGCAAAATTCACACAGATTCCTAAATTATTTTCTAAATTGATAAATTGATTTGCTTGACACATGTTTGATTGCAAATTTACGTATCAAAGGCCCAAAATTGAATGGCCGGAAATGATCTCTGAATTCAAGTGAAAAACTTGTAGCGTTTGCACGTTTTAAACACCTGTCGTTGTGTACATGCCTAACAATACGCGATTTGTGTAACCAGTATAGCGTGAAACAATGTCACAATCCACGCGAACTCGATACACGTGAACGTAATTGAAGCGGGTCGCGTTGAAGAAAAGCAATCAGAGGAGAAAATAACGTGCAACCGCCTACATAATTTTTAATCGTTTATCAAATATTACTCGTGTAATTCGCTTGTACGATGCAGAAATATATATATGATTATCGCATTTCGAGCACCGAAATCACAATTTCGGTGAAATCACAAAACGACGAACAAAGTCAGAGTCGCGGAGCCTGCAAATTGCGCCCCGCAAATCCAATTCTGCATCGAACAATGCATATTTCATTACAGGATCCGCGCGCGCAGCCCCGTGAAATTGCCAAAGTTTCTCATATTTTATTCGACTCGGGCGCATTTTCTATGACGATTACGTCGCTTTTACCGCAGTTTATTCCATTTAATATCTCTGATGATTATCCCTACAGATTCGCGAATGTTTCAGTGGAAGTCTCAAGTTCAGTGAATTTCTCAATAGTTATTTTATTATTGGCAATCAACTTTAATCAAATTGTCAGATATTATTTTCAGATTCATTAAATTTAATTGGTACAATAAATAGCAACTTTCTAAAATCTTTTCGTTTTATTATTTTATTGTCGGTTCTTTCGTTAAAATATTTTTCGGCGATATATAAAGTGGCCACGCGCGGATCCCGCAGATGGGCGATGTTAGTTGGACGTCTTTCGTGGTACGAAAAAAAGTTTCGGTTGTTCTAATGCCTGCTTCTTCTTCACTCGACAGGTGAACAACGCAACGGCGAGGGTACAGACGAAAAAACCGCCGACGATGCCGAACGGTAAGTGGGCTGAAACTTTCTTATCACTTTTATCTCCCTCCCCCTCGTAACTTTCGTCCCTCGGAGCTTTCTCCCGAGCCCTGCTCGATACTTAAGCGCCCTAAGCTACGATAGGGTTCCATTAGAGCTTGAACATCGTACGTAGGTTGTTCATTGTATTACCCGATGTATGTAGCGAAAATCGAAAATATTTTTTAGAAATTTGTTTTCATGAGAGAAAACCGTAAATCCGGACGGATGTAATTTGATTTAGAATTCAAAATTGTTTACAGTCATTGCTAAATTTTGTAACTTAGGAACATTCCGTGTCGCTCGAACAAAATGAAAATTATCTTTTCTTCAACTGAGATTATATTGAGATTATACGATATTGCTTTGAATTATGCTCGCGGATATTTGATGCGTGAAATTGAAGTTTTACGGAATATAGCAGAAACTCACGATAGAAAAATACGATCGTGCTTTTGAAAGCGGTTCGCGAAATGGCCGATCGCGCGTATTGCTCGCACTGGGAGGGTGGAAGGGGGCGGCGGTGGTCTATCGCATGAAATAATAAAAAAATATAGCTCGTATATCATTTCTATCACACACGATCTATGCTGTACAAACGTCGAGCGTATTTTCCCGGGGAATATTGCGCGGGAAATATACATTTTCCGCGTTCGCCGACTTCGCCGACGTAAAGATGCAAAAGTCTTCCCTTATTGCGGAATAAGACGAAAGAAAGCTTTTGCAGGGCGTTTTAAATTCCGCGATTCTCTTTTGCGCTTCCCGTCCGCCCGTGCATTGCAATGGGAAATTTGCTCAATGTAGGCGAACAAAAATATTCTACAAAAATATTCCAGTTACACACACATACACACATTTACTTATGTTCTGCGTATTTTATGTTTCAAGAATATTTGGTTTAGCTACGTGAATCTGAAATTCAAATTCGATATCGGAAAAATGTATGTACATATTTACATAGAAAATCTTGAGCGTAAAGAGAGTAAGTTATTTTCCACAATGCTTTATATCGGTTCGAATGAAATTTAAATCCATAATGAAATTTAAATGAAATTAGCGACGTTTGAAAAAATTGTAGAATTCCCGTTGGCACTCTCTAATAGAAGTGCCGTGTAAAATATTTTTGTGTTCGGTGAAATTGGACAAATTTTCGTATTGCGCTCACGTCCATTATGAACACACGACACGTAATGTCCGAGAGAGTTTTAAACTAAATCTAACCTTGGTCCGGTCGTACGGTCCGATTTAAATTGCGGCTTAATCCGGATTATCTGACGGACCACCAGCTGCGAAGAGAACACGTTGCAAATATGTGGTATTACGTAACCGGCTACTGCTCAAATAGGCTCTTCGCTGATTACACTGTGAAGTCCTTCAGTCTGTCATATCTCTAGGTCACAGTTAATACCCGAAAGCTTTGCAAAATTTCCCAAAACTATATACGGGTTATTTGTAAAATTACACTGGTTTATCATAAAAGTGATTAGTTAACAAAGAAAGTAGTCAAGTACCGAATACTCTGTATTCGATTATTCTTGTAAAATTGATGTAAAATACAGCTTTATTATGACTATATCTGTTTACGACAGGCTAAAGAGTTTACATTTAATCGCGTCATTAATCAAAAAGTATAACGCAGAAGCAATAATATATTTAAAAAAAGAGAGAGAATATCGTGTCACATTGATAATAAGTCTTTTTTTAACGTGAATGGATGCCTTGAATTTGTTATCATTGTCACAACTCTTCTATGTATTGGGCATAAATTTTCCTTAAGAGGGTTAACCGAGATTTACATCGACCTCTACATCGCGGATCGAAGCGGCACGATGTTATAAATATCGGCACTTAACAGCAATAACGATTGGACATGCATTGCCAAGTGTTTCCTAACGTGAATATAATTCTGGTCAGCAGTAGTTTCTCGAGCCACAAAGGACGCCGAATGACGTCGACATTGATCGGCATCTCCAATTATAACCTACATCCACAGCATAATTTCGGTCAGACCCGAATAGAAGGGCTCTCAAACGACAGACTAGTTAGTTTGCAATTTTATTTTAATTTTTTGTCATGCGTCTCCCTTTAATTTTATTTAATTAATCTCTGAAATATTTGTACATTAATTTAATTTGTCGTTAGATTCTTGCTTAAATTTTCCGAATAGATATCTCAATGGCATTTTAAGATCATCGTGCTATTTCTTATGATTAAATTAATTTCCATAATAAATTCGATTGAAACTTTAAAATTAAAATTACGGAAATATTCGCGCCACGTTGGATTATCGGCTCCGACGTAATCGTTAAATTTTTAAGGTCACTCGTCCGTGTTTGGCACCGCAGTTGCAATGCGTTCGCCCCGGTTTAATTGCGATCAAATCAACAGGGCTCCGTGTCCAGCGACTGAATTGATTCTCGCCCACGTCGAGGCAACGTCCTATCGAGTGACGGCTCGTGTGTGCAAGGTTTAACTCTCTGTGCCCACGCACGCGACATGCAATTATTGGAGTGCTAAGGCTCGCGCCCCCCCCGGGGGGGGGGGAGGGAGGGAGGGAGGAGCGCGCGCTACGAGAGACGTTAAGATCAATTTCGGGCCATTTGACGCGTACAGGTGCCCCGCGTGGCCGCGACGCCTCTAATAACCGTTTCGACAACTGTCGATTCTCGGATAGAGTGGAATGGCCGAGACACCTCGCGCGCCTCGCGACAGTCTCTCCGCGTTCGACGGTCTCGCGACAGCGGCCGTTGTCAATAGTGACGCTGACAAATGGTGCCTTGACAATTTTTTTCGAATGTTTGTACCTGACTTTTGATTTCGGTGTAAAATTCAACAAGGTAACTGCGTTGAATTTTTTTTTTTTTTTTTTTTGGTCGCGAGATACAGCGTGTGGTTAAATTCAGGAAGAGTCGAGAAGTCACTAAACGTGACGAGAAATGTTAATCGCCGTGAAGGACTCGATATACGAAATCTTTCTCACTCCTCGCACTACGTCTAGAAAGTCTGAGACGTGAGATAAATGATGAATGCGACATTTAAGTTGTATCCCGTGAACTTTTACTGCGCGCTTTCAGGTGTTGATAATACCGAAAGGAGAAAAAGAAATTCTCCTACTTAAAGCCGATCGATTGCGCGCGATTAAATTTCTCATCATGTTGTACTTTCGTTTCGGCGTAAAAAAAAAACACACAAATTGGCATAGCCCATACGTGCTAGTGTAACGAACGTGTAACTCAATATAGGAGCATATAATTTCATCTAGTTTATACACGCGGTACAATTTACGTAACGTATCGTATTAATTTTCCACGTTTATGGTAAGCATATAAAAATAGCCGACATATTGCGATATTATTATTGCGGTCTACAATTACACAGTTTAAACGCGTGTATCATTCTCGAATCGACCCAATTGTAGAAGTGGCGCGCGTCTAATTATAGCGAAATTTATTCGGCGGCAAATATAGCACGCCTCGCTGTAATCCGCCTCATTACGGAGTCGTTAATCTTCGCTACGGTATCTTTGAAAATACGTACCTTCGAAAATAAGTCATTATTTCTGTCTTGACTGACGTAGAAAAAAGGACAATTGCAACTGCTTCGGCGGTTAGAGTGGCTTTAATAGAACCGATTCGCGCTTCACGATCTTTAATTCAGAGTGCTACCTGAATAGTCGCGTCACAAGATCTAAGATCTTTCGTAGAGACGGCAATTTTTAACAGTATTGTATATTTCCGGCCAGCCATTTCTAGTCATTAAATCGGTGCGATGTACCGAGCACGTCGTTTTCTCAAGTGCGAAACCGCAAATTTATTTCGCCCTCGGCCGTGCGGGTTCTCTTTCTTGTTCCCATATACTTCACCGTCGTAATACGCCACGTGTGTAAATAACGTTAAAAGGAGTCCGAACAAGTTCCGCCCGCGCGACCCCGCGCCGACCCGCTTTTCCACCTCTGGTATATGTTTTCCCGCCCTTACATATATCCCGGATCGACGGGATTTACAGAAGTCGAGTCATAAAAATTGCATAGTTGCCCCCGGTTCGTCCCAGTTTCTTTTAAAGCAACACGATGTGCGCACGGGTCTTTCAATCCTCTTAACCCGATACTAAATTTATGTGCTCGACAATTTTAATGTCCTTCCTCAAATAATATTTCTCTCTCTCTCTCTCTCTCTCTCTCTCTCTCTCTCGCTCTGCAACTAGATTAATCCCAGCAAAGTTTTAATTTCCGTGACTCTTATAATTTTTAATAAAAAAATGCGCTTTGCTTACGAAGTAATTTTAATACATAAAATGTTTGGTTTTTTTTTATTTGAGATATGATGACATAATTATATCGACGATAGTTTGCGTTTTAGGGACCATGTTTAGTGCATCTTGCTGCATCGAGTTACAACACATTTTTGATATTTGCAGTAGCATAATCACAATGGGCGACAGAATCTTCTTGATGATGCAGAGACATCACGAATATTTAGAATCACGTCTGACATTTTCGCTCTATGCTTTATTATCTCTCTTTCTCTCTCTCTCTCTCTCTCTCTCTCTCTCTCTCTCTCTCCCGCCACCGAGTTTGGCAGCAGCTCGCATTTCACGGCGCTTCCGCTCGCCGCTTCCATGCGAACACCCGGTGTACCCGCGGTACGTGATGTCCATAATTTACGCGAAGTCTCGCTGCTCATTAATTGTCGCGTAAATAACGCTCGGCCTCACGGTATGCATACATTTGTTCGCGTGGCGTGCACCCTTCGTTCTCTTTCGTTCGTCGGTTCTCTCAAATCGTGTTACACGCTTCTCTTATTTTTCTTTCTTTCTTCCGAGCTAGCCGCGCGATACTCTTCGCGCCTTCTTTGCTCAGTCTTTCTTGCGCGAGCAAAAACGCATCACGACGAATGTGGCAACGCATTGCGCGTACATAATATTTTTCGCAATAAGTTATTTTCACGGGAAAAGGATGCTCAAGAGCATCGAATTATTAATTAAATAAATAA